AGCCAGGAGCCCAGCCAGGAGCCCAGCCAGGAGCCCAGCCAGGAGCCACAGGATTAAATGAAGGTGAAGGAGACCCCTGGTTGGAAAAATCCCAGAGAACCACTACCCACAACCAAACAGCTACTGTATCCCACCCAGAGAAGCGGATCCATTCCACCCAGAGGGCGCCAGAGAGTCAGATCAATGCTGTCCAGCCAGGTAAGGGCTCAACATGCGTTCTCCAGGACTAGTCTCTCATTCGTTGGATATTAATATGGATCAAGGTTATATTTTATGCTTGAAAACCATCAGAGAAATGTGCTCCAAAGATGGAATGATGAAAATTGAAGTGAAGAATTTGGCCAAACAAAACAAAAAACAACCCTGGCATTCGTACTCATGAGTTTACAATCAAGGAGCTCTGGAGCTGTATGTAAGTGGACGAGCCCTTGTCTCGCAGCCAGAGGCCTTGATTTTTGACCCCCAGCACTGAGGAGAAATGAACTGTTAACTATTGGAAAGGAATGCCTGGTAAAAAGTCCCCGAGGAGTGGGTTTTAGGAGCTACGAGAACCAAAGTTCAAAGTGCTCAAGTCTGGTCTATAAGAGTGGCAATATAGGAGCATGAGACAGACAGCTCAGTGAGTCCAGGAGCTCGAGACAGCTCAGTGAGTCCAGGAGCGCGAGACAGCTCAGTGAGTCCAGGCACTCGCTGCAGATCCTAATTACCGGAGTTCTACACCCAAGGCCTCCCTTGGTGGAAGGAGAGAACTGAGTGCTGCAGGTTATCCTCTGACCTCCACACACAGCCATGGCATATGTGTGTGCCCTCTCCCTGCATACATACAAAGTAAACAACTGTAAAAGAAAAGTTAATGGCTCCTTAATTGTAAACTCATTAGCAGACTATAGATCCTCCTGTATACTGTAAACACCTCCAAATTATATATAATCCCTTATATAATGTAAATACTAAATAAATAGTTCTTATACTGTACTTTTTAGGGACTAATGACAAGAAAAATAATCTCTGTATGTGTTCAGTTATAGGCACCATTTGTGTGTGTGTGATGAGGATTAAAGTCAGGGCTTTATATATGCAAAACCCACTGAAATACACCCTCGGCCTCAGAAACAGGTTTTTAAAGATTATATAGGCACGTATAAGTGTTTGGTTATACAATGAATGCGTGTTTAGAATGCCCCAAGCCCCTGGCATTGGGAGTACAGAGCTCCAGTGTGGCCTGTGTTTGCTCAGCACCTCATGGCACAATGGCTGGACTGTCATCGGTGTGGTTGCAGCTGCAGGGCCTGTTCTCTGTGTGGTCCAAGTCACTCATTAACAATGCTGTCTTCTTGTATCCAGTCTAGCTGGAAGAAGGAAATCAGGTTTCCAGGCCTACAGAGTGGCGTAAAGGAGAGTTGTATACCCGTTTACATAGGCTCTAGTTATGGGCAGCTCAAGAGTTTGTGGGTTCTGTAGTCAGACAAGTCCTTCGAGGCACTGGACTGAAATGTGTACCAAAAAAACCCAAAAAAACATTTTCTGCATGCAGGTGTGGTGTTCTTCCTCTACTAAATATGCTAATGCCATAAGCCACAGCTTATCTTTGGAGTAACTGTTACATAAAAGGTCTTTGTTTTTAGGATATTTATTTATTTATTTATTTATTTAACAACTTAGGGCCTCATACATTGTAAACTACTCTACCAGCTTTAAGGACATTATTATTTACTTTGAAAAATTCAAGTCTGATCATTTGCTTGTTACTCTTTTTCTATGTATGTATTTTTTTTGTTTGTTTTTATGGTAGAAGATAGTTTATTATAGATATGTGGGAAGGCATAGCCAGAGGCAAGGACTTCTGGGAGATTCCAGAGTAGACATGACCAGACCGAGCCAGCCCATAAGGGGACAGGGGAACCAGGTGCAGCAGCCAGTAGGCCAAAGGTACAGAACAGACACTTGTTAGTCTTCAAGACTTATCTTTGACTGGATTCAGAAGGAGAGTGCTCAGCAGGGACAGCCCACACCCCTTGGCAATCTGTTTCTGGTGTCTTTCCTTGGAGTCTCGGTTCCCTTGGCCGTATGTTTAGCACATTCTGCAGCATCCTCCTCGCGTGACTCAGTGAATTGTTTCTTCAGAGCAATACATCGGTGCCTGAGTCGAGGACATGTGGAATAATAGATGCTAAACCTTGGGTGCTGTGGTCCTGGGCTTCTTACCTTCTTTGTTTGAGGTCTTTCAGACAGCATATTGGTGGACACCATCTTCCTTAGAGAGATTAAAACCCTTCAGGTTCTCTTAGCTCTTTCATGCACCAACCACTGAGGCACAGTGATATCTGTCAGTCCAGGAATATCCTCCCCCCATTTTTAACAATAAGAAAAAAACATCAGTTTAAGAACACTCAGATGGCCGGGCGGTGGTGGCGCACGCCTTTAATCCCAGCACTTGGGAGGCAGAGGCAGGCGGATTTCTGAGTTCGAGAGTTCGAGGCTAGCCTGGTCTACAGAGTGAGTTCCAGGACAGCCAGGACTACACAGAGAAACCCTGTCTCGAAAAACCAAACCAAAAAAAAAAAAAAAAAAAAAAGAACACTCAGATGGTATCCACAATACATCCTTGAACAGACTTGCATTTCCTCTATCCAGTTATCCTTGGGCTAACATGAGATTGCCCCTTACTCAACAGCAGGCACACGCTGTCATGGGTCAGGACACCTCACTTCATGGGAAAACCTTGCTCGTCGTACTCCTCACTCAGCGGCGGCAGCTGCTTCTGTGACCATGCGCTTCTCGTAGAGAGCATGAAACTTGTGTCCATCACCCATTTCTCTGAGTTTCTGACAGCCAGTGGCCGAGAAGGAGATATTCAGCTTCATCTTGAAATGGCCAACCTCCTAAAGGTGCCTCAAAAAAACAGCCTAAAGACTTGTTTTTAAAGGTTACTCACCATTATGTTCTCGCACAGACTTCTCACGGTTTGTGTTGTAGGAGAACTGTTTGGAATCTATATGATCAGAAATCTAGAAAAGTCGTTTGTATGTATGGAAATGTGATCTAAGGGACAGCTGTAGAAGCTTGTGTCCTCCCAAGATGGTGCCAGGAATCCAACAGAATAGCTAGTATGAAGAGGTTCACTTATCACTCTTCTTTAAACTCTAAGAGCATAATGTTAGAATGCCTTCTTATAGATACACGCACCCTGCTGGGACACTACAGACAGGATTCCTCCCCTGGGAAGTGAGCTCCCATCAGATGGCAGAGCTGTTTCAGCATTGGCAGAATGTAATGTCTTTGTGTTCATCAATCCCTGTCCATCCATCCATCCATCCATCCATCCATCCATCGTAGTGTCACCACCACCACCCAGCCTTAAAGAGTCATAACTGGCTTTTCTGCCACAATGTCCTTGATTCTCTTCAGATCTTCCACCATGTCTCTTGTATTGGAGCCAGAAGTCTCCTCAGAATGTATTGCCTACTGCCTGTCTGCCTGCCTGTCTCCCTGTGTATCTTTCTGTCTGTTTCCCTGTCATTCTATCTGTCTGTCTGTCTCTGGCATTAATAATTCTTCTAAGAAACTCCGTGGTCCTCAACAATCTATCTCAGTGTCCTCTGGAACCGCTCACTCCTCATCTAAACCTAACACAAACGATAGTCAAGGGTTAGTTCCATGAGATTTTGAGACCCTCTTTCCTTGTTTTCATCTTTAGAAAATGTCACTTACACCAACCTGCAGATTCCTTTATATATCTACCGTTTGGGCACAGGAAAAGATGGTGATCTTAGAACACTACCCTTCAGGAAAACACTGAATAGTCGTTGCAGGGATTGAAGATGGGGGAGGGATCCCAGGGACTTAAACCAGGCAGAGCCTTATGCTTGCTTACACAGCTCTGGGACTGCACTGTGTCTCTTCCTCAGCTGCGTTATTAACCTTCCTTCATCAGGAGAAAAAAGCATGACAATCATGCATTCTTTAAATCACTTCTAGGCCATTTGGAGAGAGCTTCTTCAAAGCTTATTGGTACCTAAGTCTGAAAATGAACACAGGATGAGGAAATCACTCAGTGGTGGTGCACAAGCCTAGCTTGCTGTGCAAACCCCTGCATTCTATATTTAGTATGTGTCTCGTAGAGACCTTTCCCAAAGTTTTACTGTGCTTAAATGTGTAAGAAGAATAAACCACAATGTCAGATTCTTGAAGTTTTGACCCAGCACCTGAAATGGTGCTGACCAAGTTTCTTCACCTCACAGAGTGCCCCCCACAAACATACATCTTCCTTTGCCTCTAGAAAGCTGGGATTAAAGGCATGAGCTATCATGCCCAACTGGCCTATGTTCACTTAAAATTAAATCCTGCCATTCCTTTCTCAAAGTCCATCTTCTAAAAAGTAAAAGGAACTGAGAGATTAATTAGTGGTCAACTAGAGAACCCAAGTTTGGTTCCCAGCACCTACATCAGGGGATTCACAACTGGCCCACAGTGGGCACCCACATACATGTCATACACAGACAGACAAACATATACCTGAATTAAAAAAATAAATAAAGCTGTAATTCTATATTTAATGTGTGTCATGGAGAAACACATTTTGCCTACTTCCTGTGGTTTTTAATGTCCCTTTAACATATATCTGTTTACTTTCCATAGACAGTAATTCCTTAGGAAAGAACCAAGAAGAAGAAAATTACGATCTTAAGTCCAAGAGTGGCCGAGCACGGGGGGAGCACCCAGCCCCGGAAGCAGGTCAGTGTATACCTTGGAAGCACACCACAGAGCAGTGAGGTCCACAGGACCAACTGCCCGAGTCCTGTCTGGATGTCGGGTGGAGCTATGAGTGTTTTAAGACTCTTACTGATACCCAGCCCCAGGAGTTTTCCTCCCAGCCTCAAGCCTCAAAGTATATTTACCAACACCTAGACCATTTAGCTAGGCTCGTTCCCTGACTAACTAGTAGTTTAACATAACCCATTTATACTAATCAACATTCTGCCACGTGGCTGGCTACCTCTGCTCAGGTACCATGTCCTCACATCTCCATCGATGCCTCCCACTCCTGGCTCTATCCCAGAATTCTTCCTGCCTTGCAGATGTCCCACTTTCTCGTCTACCCTTTCCTATAGACCATAGGTCTTTTTAATTGACAGGTGATTTGTCCATATAATACGTAAGATATTCTCTTACACCTGAGAGCACTAGTCCCCAGACCAGACCTGTCTTCTTACCTTTGAGGTCACAGTTCGTCATGGTGCTGTCTTCAGCTCTCACTTTACCTCTCCCATAAACTTCCAGGGATCACTCTGCCAGAAAAGTCACACTTGTGACACAGAGGTTAAGGACGCAGGCTCAGCCAGGCATGATGGCAAACATGTTTAATCTCAGCACTCAGGAGGCAGAGGCAGGTGGATCTCTGAGTTCGAGGCCAGCCTGGTATACAGGATGGGTCAGACACCACAGTTGAAATTCTGGCTCTGCCACTCAACTCAACCACCACGGCCAGGTTCTTCTCTCTGTATCCCAGTGACGTTAGAGGGAAGGTGACAGTGACTAGTCCCGTCTCACAGGGTTGCTGTGGGAGTTGTACTACATGGTTTGGATGTAATGATGGCTGTTAAGATTGAGTTATGTGTGAGGGAGGGGCAGGAGGAAGAGACTCTGTGCACTTGATGACAGAACATGACAGGAGCGTGGAAAGCACCAGAGGCAGGGAGAACACTGATGCCTGGGAGGAAGCTCCATCGCTGGGCTGTTTTTAGTTGGAAGGGAAGCACACTTGACAGCCCTGTAGAGAGGCTTGAATCCTGCATGCCACATCAGCAAAAAGACCTAGCGAAACAGAACGGAATCCCTAAATTACCCATCTAAACATGGGCAATGCTGCCTTCTCACCCTCGAGTATTCTTTGAAGTATTTGTACAACACTGATCAGCACCTTTTCCTAGCTGGACGACACCAAAATACAATTTTTAAACAACTGATGTCTAAGCACAAGGAAAGATGTCAGGCACTTGCCCGAGTTCCCCCGCAGCCTGCTGGGCTTGTCTTGGAGTGTTAGAATGAGACTCCCTGTCACCTGTCAACAGTGGACCCATGGCCACATGTCTCTGGAGGCTCAGCTGTAGTTCACTCTGCTCATTCTGGTTGTCTAGATGCTTTGACATATCATTCCAACTCATACAAGCAGACTAGATATTTCATCATCTTAGGGTTTTTTTTTATGATACAGAGTTAGAATTTATTAAGACATTTTAATACGCTTTAAGCATGGGTATCAGTAAGAGAGACTTCACTTTATCTGGTTACTAATAACTCTTATCACTGTGTTTTAGAAGGAGTTGGGGGAGTGAAATAATTTCAAATTTCCCATACTGAAAGTATTGAGGAAGCTATGTCAACTAAGGATTAAACATCAAGGAATAAATGAGGCATGGTGGGACATCCCTGTATCCCTAGGATCCTAGCCTTGGGAGGCGGGTAGGAGGGAGACTCACAAGTGTGTGGCCAGCATGGAGTGTATAGCAAAATCCTGTTTCAAAAAAACAAGGAACAGGGAAGGTGACTCAGTAAAGCCCCTACCATGTAAGAACATGTACCTACATATGTTCTGTGGCAATCATGGAAGAGCTGGGGACGATCACACAGGTATGTAACCCCGGCCCTAGGGAGCTAGGGATGGGTGGGGCCCTGGAGCTCACTGAGTGACCACTCTGGCCAATAGGTGAGCTCTGGGTCTAATGAGAAACCTTGTCTCAAAAGCTAAGGTAGAGTGAGATAATAAAAGATACTCAGTGTTGACCTCTGACCTGCACATGTGTGTACATGCACCTGCAAACACATGTGCACACACATATACACAACATATATCTAAATAATAAAGCAAAGAAGCTGGGTAAGGTGGCTGTGTAATAGCAGCACTCCAGAAGCTGAAACAGGATGATTGCCACAAAGTCAAGGCTAGCCTGGGCTACATAGTCAGTTCCCAGGACTATGAGGACAAACAAAACAAAGAAAGAAAGAAAAGAACACTGCAGCAATGGGAGATGGCTAGTGTGTAAAGTGTTTCCTGCATGAGCATGAGTCCCTGAGTTCAGATCCCCAGCGCCCAGGGAAAAGCCCAGATGTGGTGGCAGATGCCTGGAATACCAGCGCTTTGAGGTAGATATATGAGGATCTCAGGGCTCACTAGCTCCAGGTTCACCAAGAGACCCTGTCTCAAAAAGGAAGATGGAGAGCAATCACACACACACACACAGAGACACACACATACAACATAGCACACACACACCATGCCACACCACAACACAGCACACACACACAACACGGCACACACACACACACACCACAGCACACACACACACACATACATACCACGGCACACGCACACACAGGGAAGGAGGAAAGGAGATTGAGAGGTGGGGGAGAAGGAGAAGAAGAGAGACCTAAACAGGAATTAGCAACCTCATTCCTGATTTGGAAAATAGAAATTTTCATGAATTTCATTATCAGTTTTATCACATTCAGTGGTCCTGAGCCACGGGGTTAGGACTGAGATTGAGGTATCTACCCAAAATTTGCTCCCCATTAGCCTAAACATTGGTTTTCCTCTCTGATCGACCCAGACTCCAGGGCTAACAGACCTTCCATGGACAGGCAGAACGGGGGCTGTTGGATTCCACACTGAAGAGGTTCGGGGTCTCTGAGCTCCTGTCAGGAGGAGAACAAATTCTCTTTCTTTGACTTGGTCCTGACACTTGGAGGCCACTTACTCCTTTGAAACCTTCTCCCTTCAGGATGGCACGAGGAGCCAGCAGTGGCTGTAACCCCCAGGCCACTGGGATGCAAGGAGGGGAAGTGGGTTCTGGATGTTTCCAAGACTGCAGGGCTGTGGGATGGGAGGTGGTTCTAGAGTCTGTCTCTAAGTTGTGCATTGGCTGCAGGTTTCCTTACCTTAAAACTTGATCCCCTAGACACTAAAGTAGCCTCCACACCCTTCTTTATGCTCCAGACACAGGGCTGTCCTTGATGGTCTCATGTTCACCTGGAGTTTGGAAAGCCCTTTAGTGTGACACCAGCTACAGATCATATCCAGATGAGGCCAGCTATATCTGGGGCCAGCTCTAAGTCCCTGAAGTGAAGGCTGGAGGGAACTACCTCAGCTACCTACCCTCAGACTGCTCTGTCTGCCCCACCCTCTCTTTCCCCCAGGAAAAAGGTGTTCCTGTCCATGGCCGCCTCTCCCGAATCTTGATGTAGCTGTCTCCTTAGCTGTATTTTGTGGTCATCTCTTAGTCTCCCTCTCTCCATAGGTTCATAACCTCTGTGGCTGCAAGCAATCGGGTCTCTTTTAGTGCACAAACATTAGAGGGCCCAGTCTCCTGTAAATAAATTTCCATTTGCTAATCCAGTGGACTCCCCAGGTCCCACCCTGGGAGCCTTAATGGCCTGTGGAGCGTCCCACACACCCAAACCACCCTCCGGGAAGTGTCTTCTTCTGCCTTTCTCCTGTCCTCTGACTCCTGTTCCTGAGCCTGCTCCTGTTGGATCTTCCTTTCTGTCTATCGGTCATGTCCACTGCAGCAGCCATGACCTCTGTGCTGACAGCCCCTAGGCACCTAGACCAGATAACCAAGGGAACGCTGCTGGACTCCCCTACAACAGTAGTTTCTCAACATGTGGGTCACAACTCTTTCGGGGTTGGATGAAAGGGTCACCTAAGGCCATCGGGAATACGTGAGGCCACTCCTCTGTCTCCAGGCAGGTCTACCCACATGCAAATACCCAGAACTGTATAATTGAGAACTACTGTCCTTCTAGGCATGCTAATCAGAAAATGTTCCGCAGTATATGCATATATTCAAGAACAAACATATGGAACAAACTTATCTTCTTCCCTCCCTCCCCCAAAGTGAGGTCCCACGTAAGATCCAAGTGACCATAGCAAAGTCTAACCTGCAGGCAGACACTTCATCCCACCGTTAGATTTCCAAACACAGCTCTGTTGTCATAACAATATTTCACTGTAGTCTTTCTAATAAATGCCAGTCTACTCAGATTTAAGTTATTCAGATATGTTCTCACATCCCTCTTGGGGAAATCAGCACTGTAGGGACTAGACCACAGACTCTGTCCTGGATGGGTGGGGACGTTCCACCACAGGTGACACAGTATCAGTATAAGCTGGCACTTAGTATTAGCGTATCCTTGGGGCTGGGTATTTTGTGAGCAACAAATTTTAAAAAATGCTTGTCTTTGATTAGTAGCACTTAGGCCAGTGTCCAGCACATGGAAAGCTATTAATGAACACAGAATAAATAAGCAAAAGGAAATCTTTCAGAATCGAGCTACACATGGATATGTTGATTCCCCTAGTGCCCAGTTGCAAGAAGGTGAAACTAAAAATAGTCTTACCACATCACAAACTGGCCTTATTCTAGCAAACGGGCCCTATTCCCGTGTAGAGGGGACTAAGAATAGAGGCTGCTGAGCTTGTCTGGAGATAGATCGACCATGCCCCTTCCAGACCTTGCAAGACTACAGGCTATTCTGGTGTGCCACCTAGGACCAGCCCCATGGGAAAACCAGTAGCCAAAGTTATACTAGCAGACTTTTACAAATTTAGTTTTAGTTAAAATATAGTATCAGTCTATCAGTCCCCTCTCCCCTTTCTCCCATGCTTCCTCCACCCCTGGAAAATTCATGGCCTCTTTTTATTATTGCTACACACACACACACACACACACACACACACACACACACACCTTGCATAAATACAATCTGCTTAGTCTGTTTAGTGTTGCCAATGTGCATCTGGTTTTAGGACTGACCAAGTATACTAGCATATTTGAGGTTAGTTTTCAATAAATGGTCTACTGGGGGATCCCTGGATTTAAAAAAAAAAAAAAAGTTAAAATTTAATTTTATGTATATGGGGTTTTTTGCCCGTATGTATGTCTCACCACACAAGTGCCTGGTTCCTTTGGAGGCCAAAAGAGGGTATCAGATCCCCTGGAACTAGAGTTACAGATGGTTGTGAGGTGCCACGTGGGTGCTGGGAATTGAAGCTGGATCCTCTGGAAGAGAAATACCTCTCCTAACTATAAAGCTGTCTCTGATGCCCTGGAAGTGAATATCTTAAGCTCTACCAGAAGGAGAAATCAGGAGGTAGACTATAGCTAATGAGAAGCTGATCGTGTGGCCGTAACTGTCATGTATGACTTTATTGAGAATATTTACCATGGTCACAGTCTCTAGGATAGTTGGGTATAAGGGTGATATCACAGCAATGTTTGTTTCTACTCCTGAGGCCAATTTTGTAAAGAAAAAAATTGTCAGAACCTGGTAGAGAATTTGGTTTAAGACGTATGCAGGGGATTAACCTCCCTGTGCCTTTGTCAGAAAGCAGCAGTAAAACTAGCATCAGCTGGAGTGATTCAGATGGGGTAAATTAATTCATGCCAAGTGTCACACAATGGACAGTAGCCCCCACTGTTGCCAACCACTTACCAGCACTTTTTTTTTTCAAACCTTGCATAGGTGCGGTGCTACCCCTGGCATTAGGTCTGGCCATCACTGCTTTGTTACTTCTCATGGTGACATGCCGACTCCGACTGGTGAAGCAGAAACTTAAGAAAGCCCGTCCCATTACATCTGAGGAATCCGACTACCTCATCAATGGGATGTATCTGTAACCAAGTATCTAAGCAGCTGGGGGCAAGGGTGGGCATCACTTATAATCTGTTCTTTGGGTTCTATCAATTAAGACTTTTTTTTTTTAACTGTGCTAGAAGACACTGCAAACACAAGCCTTGATTTATCATGAAATTGTTTTCCTGGGATGTACAATGTCTTGTAAGGTAGAGAGGAATTCATGAGATTGAAGCTTGTTTGCTGAGACAGCATGTCACGAGGTGACAGATGGAAGTCCTGCCTTTCAATTGAGAGGTGCCAACTGCTGGTCCCTAGCAGCTTCCCTTGTCCTCTAGCCTTCTTCTCCACTGAGTTCTCATGAGTTCCACTTTCTTTTCCTCTGCCAAACACCTCTGAAAAGGGATCTTAAGTGAATTTACACTCAATGAGATGTTACCAGTGGCAGGTCTGTGTTATATAAACATTCTGAATAGATCAGTGATGTCCCACAGGAGAGGAATTCTTACCCCACCCCACCCTATGTTTCTGACATCTGACCATGGTGGTAGCTGCCACATCTGGCTAACCTTGGAAGAAACCCTTTTGGTTAGGGGCAGCTGTAGGTGGTTATGGAATGAGAGCAAGCTGGCAGCTGAGGAGAGGACCCAGCAGTTGAAAATTGAATCTCAGCCGAGGGATATGTGAGGACAATCTTCTCAGTGCTGCTTCATGGTGTGGAGCAGCGTGGCCGCTTTATATATGCACTGGTTTTCAACATGAGCCTTTCTGATGAAAATGCGCAAATTATCAATCCAAACAGTGATGTCTGGATGTTTGTAAAAATGTCACCATGTCCAGGTATCACAGGCTTTGCAATGGAATGAGCCAGATGCCTCCCTTCGTGTGTCTTGCAGGGCTGGAGGTGGAACCCAGGAGCCTGTTTGTGCTAGGCAAGTGCTCTACCACTTATCTATACCCCTGCCCTCACCGTTCTTTATGTTATTAAAATGTTATGATGTACAATCAGCTAATGTCAGGATGTATTTTAAGAGCAGAAAGCACTTTTGCACACATTCTCCTTTGCAGGAAACTACCATTCCGCTTAACATCTTTAAGTTTGTAGACAGAAAAGGCAGATTTTCCCATCGATACTCAGTGCTGAGTTGTACACTGAGGGGACTGCACGGTGTGGTGCCTGTTTATAATCACGATGTTCTAGTTTTCTTTACCCTAAGTGGCAAACATTACAACACACTGAAAAACACTGTAGTCTCCTTCGTTTAGGCTCAATGTAAAATAGGTGGTTCCTTTAACAAGGGGCTTGATTTTGGTGAGGGAATATAACCTATTGAAATGTATTAATAAAAGGATAGTTCTAGAAAAACAAATGTTTGCTTTTGTCTCTTGAAACTCTAACTCCAGCCTCTTGCTGACTGTTTCAAGCTGAGCACTGGTGTAAATGTTACAGTGGCAGTCTGAGAGATGAACAGTGTGAGTGAACGTACCTGCACTCTGTGATGCTGGTGGCTCATTTTCATAGACGTCACCTATAGCCATACCAAGTAAATAGAAACTGATAAGGCATGTTTCTTTCTGCACATCTTTTATATACAAAAAGACATTAATGACAATCTAGCTTTGCTATTGTTTTGAAGTACTTGAGAAAAGATGCCTTGTATGTACCAGTCCTTTAATAAACTATTTTATTCTTATGCCTTTAAAAAAATCCTTTCTTATAAATTGTAGGTTACTAAGTTTGCCCAAACTCTAGTATTTGGATTTAATCATGCCAACTTTGTTTTCACAAAAAGGAAACAGGGTTGTAGAACAGTGAGTCACCCCAAGCCATGTGAAGTCTGCTAGAAAAGCTCGGGCCTCACCTAGTGTTCCTTAACTGGAGTCTGGGCGAGGCCTCTAAGATGTCTTATCAGCAACTCTGACTCATGTTCTCCCTCAGTTCAGAAACAATTAAAAAGGGCATAGTGCCCATATGTTACCTCTGAAACGTGCTGCACCACAGCTCTTCCTAAGGCCCATCCAGAAGCTTAAAATTCACTTGTCAGCTTGGTTCTCAGGACAAGGTAACAGCAGGTATCCCCACCTTCCGTAAGCCAGTCTGATTAATGTCATTTACTTCTGAGATAGAGTCTCTTCGGTAGGAACCTTTCCCCCCTCTTCCTTGTAATGACTGAGAAGTTGTCTGTCCCCCCAGCTCTCTTGTCACACCAACGCCTTTCACTTGCGGATTTTGCTCTTTTCCTGTATTTTCCCTCAATCCAAACATGGAGGTCCATAATTCTATTTGCCCCTCAAGATGGCTGTCCAGGGCAATCTGTCTTTGACTGGATTGCTCCTGTAAACATCACACAGATTGAGTCCTCCTCTTCATGCATCCCAGGGACACTCTTAATATAAGCCTTGACCCCGAGCTTCTGAGATGCCGGTGGCTGTAATTTATCACCCCTCATCTCTTATGTCTAGGTTTTGTTTTCATTTATGTTATACTTCCCAGCACAACTACCCTTATGCTTTTGGATCCCAAGTGTGTACAGTTTCAGGTTGTTTGTTTGTTTGTTTAAACCTCAATGAGAATTTCTAACAAAGAACTGCTCTAGCTATCTACCAAGGGGAAAGCACAGTGGTTCTTCACAAATGGCCTCATGAAGCTGGCTTAACTGGCTTCAAACTTCTTACCTCGTGGTTTACTCCTCTAGTTCTTACCATAGTGTAGAAAAGGGATAGTCACAGTGACTTCTGGCTAAATGATGTTAAGAGTTCTTAGGGAAGCAGGAAACCAAAGATGACAGAAATAAAGTTAGACCCACAACAGGTTCTCAGAAATGGACTGAAGTCAGAGAGCCCCTTTTTTTACAGGCCTGTTTAATGCAATTTTAACCAGGTGGTGTAGTAAATCCCAGCACTCAGGAAGCAGGGACAGGCAGATACAGGTTAGTCAGGATTATACAGTGAGACTCTGTGTATGAAAAAAAAAAACATTAACCTAATTTTAATATAAAAACAATTTACAAAATGGCTTAGGAAAAATTGTTGAGCATAAAGGCTGCTTCAAGTGCTCTTTTCTACTTTCATCATTTTATGTGACTGAAAACTCTCAAAGTCTACAAACTGTTCTTAAACAGTTCTACTAACAAAACTAGTCTGCCATCATCAAATGTACCATCACAGAGGCCTGTGCAGAGGATGGGTCAGAACAGTGACTGACCCCATCCGAGGCCATGATGCCTCCAGCTTTTATTTTGTCCAGGCTATGAGTCACAGAAACAGTCAGATGCCGTATAACATCCATCTTTAACTTCCTGGCCTGCTTTCTTCAATTGTGCTGCCCATCTCCTAACTCTTCACTGGAGCCAAGATCACAGTGTTCCACGGCTGTGGACTCCTGCTGCGCTTACCTCCTCAGCTCTCTCCGCCTCTACATAATATCAGGGTAAAAATCCTTGTGAAATAAGAATTCATAAATCAATAGTAACAGGGGAGGAAAAAGAAAAATAAAAGCCAAGTGATACATTTTGGAAGCCGTGGCCAAATGTATAAGGCGCCTCAAGCCTGCTCGAAACTCTGATATCCTTTGTTCCGCCACCGTCTAACCTTCTGACAGTTTTCATGTGTGTCCTGCTCCTCCTGTTGGGACTGTCTTAATAAATTCTTCAGATTCTCAGCCCTGAGGGGCCTCAAGTGCTGAATGACAGTAAAGAAGGCAGAGTGGCAAGTGAAAGAGACACCAGGGGCTCCCAGTGTTCACCAGCGTAGCTCAGCACTACCCTGTGAGTACTGGCAGAGTAGCATTAATTATCCTGTTTTCTTCCCCTCAAGCAAGAAGGGAATTGCACAAAATCTTGTTGTGAAGACAAAACAGTTAAAAAGATGAACCCCAGGGCTGGTGGGGAAGGGAGAGCCAGCCAACAACTGTTATAACATGACTAAAGAATTCAAGATGTACAAATTATTAGACTTCATTTCCATTTTATTATATTACAAAGCACAGTCACAGACTTCCTTGGGCCAGTACCCTTTCAAGTGGGTCCTTTTACTGACAACCTTTAAGTATGCTGAGGACAAAATACTACCATCTGAAAAATGGTAGAAGTCCAGATGCAACCAAAGTCCACTCAGGGCCTGTCTCTACTATGGAACACATTAAGCTATTAGGTCATTAGGAACACAGTAAGCTATAAGAAATGATTTGTATGCTGCAAGAGTTTAAGTGCTTACCTATAATAAGTTATCAGCCTGTTGAGTTCTACAACAATTTATAAGATGAACTATGCTTGCTATTTGTCTATCAGTACTGGGTGACCACTCTGCCATGACCTCCTTTGGTGTTCAACTACCAGAAACTAGAAAAACTCACCACTTCTAGAGAGAGAAAGAGGCCTTACAAACTCTGAGGAATTACCTCAAGAATAGCTTGAAGAGTTTACAAAGTTATTACTTTAAAAAAGACTCTATTTTAGAATGCACTCAATGTTGAAGATGTTGTAGTAAGAGACGCACTGTAGGAACTTCCTTTCCTTTTCTTTCTTTAAGGCAGGGCCTCATGGAGTCCAGTCTGGCCTCTTACTTGCTGGTAGCCAAGGACGACTTCTGATCCTTCCAGCTTCCAAGTGCTGGGATTTCAGGCACGTGCCACCATGCCACATGAGCATGTGAAGGTCAGAGAACAATCTCCAGGAGTCACTTGTCCTACCCTGTGGTTCTAGGGGTTGAAAGTCAGGTCTTCAAACTTGGCAGCAAACCTCTTTACTCACTGAGCCATCTTGCTGTCTCCCACACCCCCCCCAACAAACAAGCAAACAAAAAACCATGGCAGCTGCTAGGAAAACAGAGTTTTAAGTATTCGTGTGGCCAGTAGTTGTAAGTTATTTTACCCGGGTGCTGATTTGTACTGTTCCTGGCTTGGAAAGAGCAGCAGCCCTTAATAGAAACTCAACCCTGACATTAGCTTATTGCTACCCAAGTCTGACAGCTAGATTTAGCTTTTAGGAAGATCAAATCTATAGGGAAAAGTTTATTCACAAGATCACACTACCTAGAATGTCTCAAAGGATCTTCATTATTTATATTCAGACGTACTTTCTATAAGGAAAATAAAATGCTTTGTTAATTATGTATACTGAAAATCAGGCATTTCTTACCTGTCTTATACATATTTATAAATTCAACTCTTTTAAAGGGCTCAGACTTCATTAAAGGAATTATTCCTATCTCTACCCACTTAGTGATGCCATTAAAACTGGCTGTTTACTCAACATCCTAAAGTTTCATCTCCTAAAAGTATAAAGTCTAAGAATAACACTTGAGCACAGAGTTTTCTGTGCAAACTGAGTGGAGTTTACGGTGCCAATGTATAAACTGTCTCCTCCACTGGACTGCACACTGAAGTGGAAAAGCCTTCTTCTGTTCTCAAGCCAAGCACAGAGGTCTGCGTGTGGTAATGTGCAATGACTACCAAGGATCCAGACTGGTGGGTAAGTTTAAGAATTTATTTGCTTTAAAGCCTGAATGAACATTTGACTTTACAGATACTTCAAATGACCATGCATCCTGGACTCCAGGGGCCACTGACAGGATTCCAAAGCAACAACCAGCAGCAAACCAAAGCTGGTTAAGGTTTTCAAGTCTGCAGGACCACAGTAATGCTAGTTTCCTGGGACTGAGACCTAAGCCAAGAAGAGACATTTGTCAGGTGATGTCTACATGACTTTTTGAGTCAGTAATTTAAAAGATGTGAAGAGTGGGGAATGTCTTCTCAGACACTACGAATCTTCTTGTCAGAATCACGTGCCCTTACTCATAGAGGGAAAGCTTTGCTTTGCTTAGCCCCATTTACTGAGAGCTTGTAATCCTCTCTCGAGTTCTAGAATCTTCACAAAAACTAAAGTCTTATTAGAAAATATAAAACCATATTTAAATAACATCTTCAAAGTGCCATTACCTTCACAGACATTTTACAGTTATTAAATTAATGAATCTATTTATAGATGAGACATGGATTTCAGTATGCTTACTCTCAACCACATTCTTCCCCAACACTACGCTCACCCACTCACTCACTGAGTGTCTACCCCAGAGCTATCATTAAATAGCCAGGCCCGGGCTAGGAAGGCCGAGATAAACAATGAACGCAGTCTCCATCCTGAAGAAATGCAGCCACACGCAGTGGATCACGCTGTGCATATTTACCTCTTAGGATATCACAAGACACAGCAGGGAATACGCCGCTTCCCCATGACTGTGGACAGCAATCTGGACCTAGGAGACCTGTGTTCTTCTAAATTCAAAGGCCACCAATGCTTCTTTTGTTTTTAATTTTATTTGGCAAAGCAGCGCTGCATAAACTGTGCAGAGACACAACAGCTTACACAGAGCGTTAGATGCAGATACATTACCAGCAGCAAACTAGAAACAGGTAAACGATATTGAGCTACAAGCCTCCTATCATTTTTAGAGAGAAGAAAATTACATCCGAGATGTCCAATCGGAACAGCGGAGTGTTTTGGGGACACCACCTGCTGTCGTCTTAAGTTTCAGTATTTACAAACACCTAGTTTTAAGGTAACAGCAGCTGATTGTATCTACGACATGCTATCCTATGATGCCACATCAAAGGCTTTTAAGAAGAAAGCTCATCTCTATTTTCTTAGTAGCATCTAGCAGACATCAGCTACCAAGGAAGCTAAACTTGTGAATGTGGTATTACCTGAT